GACCATGTTTTCGACTTGAAAATAAATACAATGTTTGAATGTCTAAAGTACAACACAGTAGCTGGTAAGATGGGTGTTAGAAGTTTCAAAACCTCTGACACAACTAATTTCGTAATATTTTTACCCTATGCCATACAATAGTTTTCTCATTTTTGTCTGCTTGCTTCCCTCCTGTAGACTTTTCTTCTGAGCCCTATTCACACACACCAGTCTTTGGCTGAGAGGATATATCCATGTCCATTAGCTATCGAGGCTGTGTTGTAGAGTATATTCAGGTTGCCTAAGAATCAATATTTCCCCTTCACTGTGCGGGGAGACCTTGTCAAATGATTTATTTTCCCTAGTTAGTTAGGGAGCTCATTATGTGGAGAATTGTGGAAGACATGAGAACTGTTCCTGGACTGAGAATGGCTTTTAAAGCTAACGTTACAATTTAAAGTGCCCCTGTGATCTCCTGCTAATAATCCTGGGCATATACAGGTGTTATTTACAAGTGCTGTTCTCGTTGAAGATGAGATTCCTTCTCTCTAAAATATTTTCTCCTTTTCCCCTTCTCTGCTCAGTGCAACATTCACATCCCAGATGGGAAACAACTTGCTTCCAAACTTTCATCATTGCCTTGGGACGTCCCTCCGATGTGAAAGGCGCTATATAAATATAATTTGTTTGTTTGTTTTGCCCTCTGAAACCATGCTCCCTCTCTCATTGCCACCTTGTTGGAATTACAAAGACTACAAACTCAGTGCGTGAAGCTTCACAGGCTTAAACCTGCCTTTGTAACTCTGCATGGTGCTACGCGCACTGGGGCTTCAACATGCCACACGGTACATCTAATAATCTAGATGCAAGTCAGTGTACTTTAATATTGTAATAAGATTATGGCTAATAACTTTTCAACTAGTTGCAACATTTCAAAGAAATATATCAATGGTTTTGTTCGAAGATGCTTCTTGTTTGGTCTCATCAGGAACCAAAGCAAAGCTCATGATACAATGCATGAGGTTTGATAAACAACAGAATGCTTGGGATTTGGAAAGGTCACCTGCTTCATTTGAAACACTGACAAAACAGCTTTCTTTCACTTACAGAAATCTAGGATTTGCATTACCTTCACTTAAACACTGTGGAACCAACTCTTGGGAACTCTTCCCGACGTGAAAGGCGCTATACAAATCTAACTTTTGTTGTTGTTGTTCAATCAATTCCCCTGAAAACTTGTTAGATTGGAATTTAATACATCCCTCTGGATGAATGTGGCTGATTTTAAACTTACAGCCAGTGGTCTGTGCAGAACAAATCTTCAATGGCCATTTCATTTTTTTCTTCCGCTCAATTTTCTCATTCCTTTCCTCCCAGAATGCGGACTCACCCTATATATCTCACACAAGTGGCCATTCTGGAAGTTTGAGGGTATTCGACCATAGGAGCTGAAACACTCCACCATACACAGGATCCAGCTGATTGAAAACTCCGCCACCCGCATACTCACCGGCACTAAACTCCGTACCCCCATCACACCCGTTCTAGCCAGGCTCCTCCGGCTCCCTATTGTCAAATGGATCGAGTTCAAGATCCTCACATTCGTTTTCAAGTCCCTTTATGCCCTGGCACCTCCCTAGTTCTCCTACCTGTTTATCCCTCAACCCACAACCTGCTGCCTCCGCTCGACTGGCTCCAGCATTCTACATGTCCCTCGTGCCCTCTGTTCCACTATTGGTGGCCGCTCTTTCACCCAAAACACTCTTCCTCTATCCATCTGCCTTGACCCCTTTCTTCCCCATCTTCAGAATTCTCCAAAAAGGCAGGAATGCAAGTAGAGAGAGCAAACAAAAGCAAATGGAATTCTATGTTTTATATATAGGGGCATTGAATACTTGAGCAAGCAGGTCATGTTAAAATTGCACGAGACATTAATGGTTAGGCCCCAGTATGTCGAACAATTTTGGGCACCGCTGTGGGGAAAAGGAACATCAAACTGGTGAATTGCTATAATGACACCAGGAACGAGAGCCTAGAATTATGTAGAGAGCCTTTAAACGTTGGGGCCACTTTTGCTGGAGCATTTAAAGGGAAATTGGATAAATACTTGAGAGATAATATTTAAGAGTACGGGGAAAGACAAAGGGAATTATATTTTTTAAGATAACTCCCAACAAGGCAGCTGGTGCCAGCATAGAAAACGATATGTTGAATAACCTCATTTGAATAGCCAACTTCCATTTTCTGTGATGATCAATCATAATAATAATCTTTGCATTTAATATAGCGCCTTATCACGTCTTCGAATTGTCTCAAAATGTTTCACAGAATATACTGTAAAGTGAATTAACTGTATATTTTGTGGGCAAAATCATGCACACTGTTTCCTTATCCACAATGGGCTCAGTCCCAAATCATGCAGTTGATCAGTTCTCAATCTACTATAGTTGAGTTACCCTATAAGCACATAAACATCTCAGAATAATTGTAAACTACGTCTTGGTATATTCAACAGTCCAGGGATAAGCGTTCCACTCTCCAGTGCACACTGCACTAGCTCACCTGTTAGAAGCTGCTTCAGGGTAGCTTAGCTTAGTAGCTTATGTGCGTCCCCTAGTTAAGGGGAGTTTTGTTCTTTTCCCCCAATTTTTTTTCAAATTCAAAATGATGGAGCTGGCGTCATTTTTAAAATTCTAAGGAGTGTGGTTTTGTTTGAAGTGGGACAGACATGCATGCTGATTTTCTAAAGGCATCCTATTCAGAGAAAAAAACATCAGGAGGCTTTGTTGTACATTTATTGACCCATAAAAGAATTGCAATTTATATGCCTATATTCTCCTGGAATGTAGTTTTGATCTTATAATATTATAATTAGGAAAGTGATCTATGTATCTGGTTGTTTCGGCTCCCTTGTTGTACAACATAGTGGTTGGGAAGTAGGGTTGGGAGGAAGATGTGCGGGAATTTTCATGAGGAGTGAGTGTTCATTTTCTTTAGTAGTGGAATGGGTGAAAATATCAGTGCTTTGATACTTGAATTCTTTCTCGTTTGGTCTTTCTCTTAAAGGAATATAGTGTTTTATTTGGAATGTTCAGTCAAGAGCTTGTCAGTTTAACATATGCTGAGTTTATGGGGAGGGGGAGATGAACTGTGGGAAAGCAAGTTTTAGAGGTTTCATTCCCCCGGCAGTTACTCAAGAGATCAGTTTGAACCTTCATTCAAACCAAATGAATAGGTCAACATTCATAACAGCACAGGAAACCAAGAGGGGGTGAGGTAATTCCCAAATCCCACATTTATTAAACGTATGCACATTGCACTGCAACACACAAATCATGGTCAAAATTGTTTTTGAACACCTAGAATAAGGATCAGAACTTTTGTAGCCTGCATTTGTGTTTGGGCTTGTAATGCTGAAGTAACCAATCTAATGTTGATTGAAGCTCCCAACAGTAAGAGATAAAGCACTTCTTTCCATTAGCGTGGTACATATATTCCATAATCTATATAGTTTTGCATTCAGCAGAATTGCAAAGAATGAATTGACCACATGTGTTATTCACTGGGTTGCAGCCAACAGAGGCTAGCTCGCCTTTTCATGTTGAGAACTGAGGTATTGCATGCATACAAATTCATCATTACGATCCTTACAATACCTGAACCGTGGTTAAACATCTCATGTCTGTAGTCAGCACAACAGCTGTATTCTGTTATTATTGAGATCAGTGCATTACATTTAAAATATTCCATTGTGATAATTTGCCAGAAATTTGGAAATTATCACTAATCATGCCTGCAACATCTCACGTGAACTCCACAATCCCAGACAGAGCAACTGAAACAAACAATTTCAACGCAAAACTAACTTTAAACTAGGACCCAGTACAAAAGTACATGCTTTCAAATCTTGCTGAAAATTATTGCTTTGAACAGAAGAAACATCACCTTGGAATAGGAAAATAACATAGAAGTGCTGATAAATTCAGAATTCAGCAACAAAGACTTTTTTTGAAAAGCCATATACATTTAAAAAAGTTGATTTACGATTATTTGACTCAGTCTGTTGAATTCAATGCTTCTATCTCATTAACTTTGAATATTCCCAATTCAGATATAACTACTGGTGTACGGCACCTCAGCCACCTTTGTCCAGCAAAAAAAAACATTTGATTTAATACATTCAACATATAACGAGAAATTGACATACCAGAATCCCTACTTTTAAAAAAAACTATTTAACAATTTGCAAAGTGAACAATTTATAAAGTGCCTTGAGATGATGAATACCTCAAAACAATGAAGAATAATTTGAAATGAAGTGAATATTGTTATGTAAGCAAATGTGGCAACTTATCTGTGGTAGCAATGTCCCACAAACAATGAGACAAACAGACACTTAAGATTGAGATCGCGATATTAAACAGGACAACCCAGAGAAACTCCTCACTCCTCTTTTGAATCATGTCACTGAGTTGCAAGGTAAACACAATTTGGTTTGATGACTCAACAGCAAAAGGGATGATGATTTGGAATAAATGGGGCTTTTTTCTTTTTAAAAAAAATGATATTTAAGCTGTTCTATTTCTATCAGTATTCTAAGATTTGAATGAATCTCAACCATATCACTTTTTTTTAAATGAACTTCTAAGCAGGCAAGGATTTGGAAAGGGGGCTCCCAATCATTTCTCTTCTTCCCACACATTAGATTTACAAAGAATGTGCAGCATGGAAACATGCCACTCGGCCCAACTAGTCCTTGTCAGAGCTGGACATAACAAATTCCTCATGGAATGTGTGAAATCCTATTGAAGCTGGGATTTGGACTCTATGTTCCTAATCTGGAGGTCAGGTGAAAACAGCACTAGGTCCTTATGTTTTAACCTATGTAAAACCACTCAAATGTCTGGTTGACTGAAGAATACCTCATTTGGGTAAAATGGATTCCTAGTTAACTTCTTATACAACCGCAGTACAGAAGAAAACAAAGAGCATATGCAAAAACCTTAATTAATGAATCCTACCTTTGTGGTTGAAGATTCCCTCCATTTCCATACTGCTTCGTGAATGTGCAATACATAGAACGCTGCTGGGAACCAGTCCCTCTGCAGCAGGGGAACGATCAGTTGTTCGCACAAGGCACCAGTCTGGCTTGTCGTGGGGCCTCTCTAGAACTTCCACGGTCTGACCCCGACGAATGCTCAGCTCATTGCTGTTGGAGGCTGGGAAGTCGTGGATGACTACTGTTAATTCACAACCACCAGATAGCTGTGGGGAACAAGAAACAAATAGGTGATCCAACAGCCTGACACTTAATAATAATAATCCTTGCATTTGATATATGCCTTATCACGCCGCTAAGACGTCTCAAAGCGCTTCGCAGAATATATTGTAAAGTGGATTGACTGTATTTTGTGGGCGAAATGCAGCGGCCAGTTGCACACACCAATGTCCCACAAACAATCTGCAGTGAGTGACTGCATTTGTTTGAGGAGACTATCAAATTCACCCCCAGAAAGTGATCCCCAATCGACTAACAACCAGGTTCCTACTTACTGCTAGGTAAACAGGCATGTGGAGTAAGGAAACTTGCCTAAGGTTTCTCCCTGCCCAGTAATCAAACCCAAGTCCTCTTGCTTGCGAGTCGAGCGTGCTAACTACTACTCTAAGGGACTCCACTTGAGCACCTTCCAAGGCAGAAAGTACTTCCAAACCCCAGAGCAACTTGTTATCTAAAAGCTCATTAAAATTTGACAAATATGAAATGTCACAAAGCATCTAAAAAGGATGCAGCTGTACAATAAATCACTTCAGTAAATATACTTTATAGATAAAATTCCACAAAGATTTGGTCAGAAAACGCATGCTAAGTCCTAAAATGTTGTATACCTCGAAGTATGTAGGCATAGATTATATCCTGAAACATTTTGAAGCAGCAGTAATTTACAGTGCAATCTGAACCAAACCAGTATTCTCAGTGGAATAAACTAATGCACCACATCTTGGATAAGGACCAGCAGCTTGATTTCTAACCTATGTTTCGATAAACATTACCTCAGTAATATACATATTGAGTCAGGAGAAAAGGACACAGAGATAAAATGTTCCTGACCCTACTGTCTGCTAGAAACTATCAGCAGGAGCAACATCGTTTACAATATTTACCAAATGCTGCGGATGAGATGCAGGGCAGAGCAGCTAATTAAAAAATCAAATCAATATTTAATCAGCTGCTGTTGAAATGACAAGTTATCAGATAGTTAGAGCAGTCATCAACACAGACTACCAATGCAATACCAAAGCTCTATCGCCCTATTTTTTCTGCATAAAGTTTTGGAACTAAAACAAGTTTACTTGATGTTCAAAAACGTTGGGGTGGGACAAGAAACAGAGATCAACGTCAGCTAAACAGAGGGCAAAGGTGGGAAAGATGGCAATTAGTTTCTTTCTTGGTCGAACAAAAAAAGTACGCTAAAGTTCAGACTCTTCCTTATAATCTTCAGTGACAGATGGATTGATTTGAGAAACAACAGGATGTGGAGGTGGAATATTTTAATAGCATAGAGGCGGCCTCAGCAGGTGTAAATGCCATTGCTTTAGTGTGGGATTTGCTCCACAGAATCTCATTTAGGAACGCGAGTTAAGAACAAACACTGCTGGCATCAGTAAATACTATGCTTGCTGTTGTACATGCTGGTTGTGATGGGGTCTCATTTTCTATGTTTACAAAGATTTACATAGACTTTTGGAAATATCTTTCATTGTACAGCATGGAAGCAGGCCACTCAGCCCAACTAATCTGTGCCAGTGTTTATGCTTCACATGAGCTTCCACCCACTTCTTACTCCTTCCATGACCTTCTATTCCTTCTCCCTCGTTTATGTAAATCTAGCTTCCTCTTAAATGTTTTTATCTGCTGCAACCACCAATTCCACCTTCTCATTAACCTCTTCAATATGTGTTTGATGAATTTGACTAAATATTATGGGATATTACTGGAACAAAGTAAACAAAATAAACAGTTATGAATAGTAATATTCTATTTAGACATTACTATTCAAAAATGTTACTGTTGTGTTTGAAGAACGGTAAACAATGAGTTTACGTCTCATTCTATTGCAGTTACACAGAATCCAAATCCGTATATTCTACATTGTCTTTTACAACCAGACATTAAGCTGTATAAATGTATGTAATATGCTCTGTAAGACATGTGCAACAATCCTGTTCCAATGTTTTCCAAGGCGAACCAAATTATATCCACCTACAGGGAAACTCTTATTATAACATGGTCAGAAGGTCCAACGTCTCAGTGGCTGCATTATAAGCAAGGTGCAAAAAAAAAATCAAACAAAATAAACAAGTTTTGACTGCAGGAAGATATGGTCTACTATAAAACCATAAAAGCCTGGGTTGGACAGAAAGATAATGTGACAATGTACTCGATGCAATTACTCCATTGAGTAGCTTAGGTAGAAAAAAACAGTGACTTGGCTGCCAAGTTAATAGGTCAGTAGGCGGGCTATCTAACAGTATATGACAAAGAGGACAGAGAATGCTCCCTATCTAGCCGACTAACAATTGCAAAAAAAACCAAGGGACCGGAACTGTCGGCTGTGCAAGTGACTCTTTTAGGTGAATTTGTCAACCCTAGTGATAATGACAAACCTTAAAGAACCATGTAACTTTTCAGCACAATGAATGTTAAGTATTTTTTATACAGTATCTTTGATAACATTTTGCCATGAAAAGAATTACCTCTTCAGGGCTCTTCTAAGATGACCTCCACATACTCAGTAACGACAGCAAAGTACATGTGCATCTAAAAGGGGCCCTTCTTAAAGCATATCTGTCTGTGGTCATCATTGGTGTCAGAGTATTTGGCGTTTGGGGGGGTGGGAGACTAATTATGTACAGTCTTTTCTTCTTGCCCTCTGCCAAGATTTTAGCTGTGTTTAAAAATGAAGAAATGCAGCACGACTAAAAAAGATTAGACAAATGTTCAAGCTAATCAATGATTCACGGCATTCCTTCTGGTGTAATAAATTTCTGTGAACTAAGTCTTGCTCGGGGGGGTGGGAAAGAGTTGGAATCAATTTACAGTGTTGTTAGTCACATCACATTTACTGTGATTGAAGCAAATTAACTGTTTAAAGTGTAGCACATCACTACTAAACAGTAATTTCAACTGGCTCGATGACAGATAGTGAGCTGTTTTTAAAAATGTATAATTTATATGGGTAATATATTTCAAGTAACCATTTTGGCAATATTATAGCTTGCAGCTTAAATACAATGCATCAAGGTTATGTTTCAATCATACATCTTTTAGATGTTTTACAGTCTTAAGATGCAATTATACTCTGTAGTCATAACTGCTTGACCACTGATTGGAACCAGATGTATGTCGTAATCTTGAAACAGACATCATTTTCACATGCTGTGCATAAGAAGAGATCCTTCTGTGCTTCTATTACTCCAATTACTTACAAGTTTCAGTAGAATTGTTAATGCTATTCAGACACAATGGAGATTTAATATTCTTCTCCAGGAGAGACGGGAAAAGACTTGCTTGTACTACATTCCCAATAATCTGAAGACTTTGTTTTTACAACAGCTGCAAGTATTAACCGCAACAGTACACAGTATGAGGAAATGTGACTGCAAATGCCTGAGGCAGCATCTGAGTTGTCTTCCGCAGGATGCTGAAATGGTCACATTGGGGCCATGGGACCAATTTTGGTTCCAGCTGACATTTTAATACACTCCAGGGACACCAACGTGGTAGTTGCTATAGTTAAACCAACAAAGCTGGAAAATTCATCTGATCCACCAGCTAGGGGTGATTTATTTCCCAGCTCTGGTGACCTAAAGACAAAATCACAAGTGCATTTAATTCTTCTGAATTATTTTTGGTAATCATGACATGTCCACATTTAGAGAGTAGAAAGTAAATCCACCATGGGCTTCCATCAATGCAACTCCTCAATGCCCTATCTGTTGTGCATTACAGCAAAGTAGGATAGGAGTCCACTGGCATAGGATAACATCTACCTACTTTTGAATACCACAAGAGTGAAAACTGTGATGTTGTGATATATTTAACACCTATGGTGCTAATTTAACACGCACTGAATTGAAAGACTTTATGATAATTAACTCATTAACTAGTTTCCGGATGGCTGGAATAAGAATATTCCACCATTTCCCCGGACACCTTTCTCAATGACTAAGAAGCTGGTCACTTTTAATTTAAGCATTACTAGTGGAGGTTGCTAGTTTCCTGCATACAGGCTTAACTAAATCAATAAATTAGCATGAAGTTGGAATTCTATAAACTGATATCAGTGCTGCAATCCATGAGTCCAATATGTGTTGTGGTTAGCTATTCAGTGTGGCCATAGAGGAGGTTTTCAGGGGAGAAAGAGGTCTATAACCAATACACCTGGAGACCAAGTGTAGAATGGACTGTCTCCAAAAGGCCTCTGAGACAGAATCAAGTAAGATATTTAAAAGCAAGATTGATAGTTACTTTGTAAGCAAGGGTATTAAGAGATATGTAGAAAGATTAGCCATTATCTAAAAAAATGCAAAACAGGCTAAATGGCCTCCATCTGGTCCAAAGATTGATGAAAATCATGAAAAACCATTAAATGGCGTCAACATGTACAGACAATTTAACAAAAAAAACTCAGTTTATTTTGCATTGTAAGTTCAAGGGGGGGGGGGGGGCAAGAGGAGGCATTACTTTTTTGTAATAAAATCAGTCTCTCATTCCAGGTATGCTTTGCATCATTTAGTGAAAGCACTTGTGCATATCACTGTCTATGAAGGATGAATATTAAAATGATTTTTCTTCCTTAAGTTATATGGTGCAGCCAAGCAGTTCAACTTCCACGAATTTTAATTCATAATTTATAACCAACAACATCTGTATGTGCCCCTCTCTCCTTATCACAGCATGAAATGGAGAAAATCATTTATAATGGTTTAGCCACTTGCCTTCTACAAACAGAAACAATAAACAAAATAAATCATGCAAATTTGAAAGGGTGTTAAGGGATTCAACACTTAACACATTTCTTGGTAAAAAGACTTTCTTCTGAAAAATAGAAAATGCTAAAACGGACATTTTATACTGGAAGCTGCAAAATTCCTCAAAATGAAGTCAGTAAAATTAAAAACAACCCATCCTTCCTTTAAAATACCTGAATCAAAGGGCTAAAATCCCAGTGTTTGCATTTTTATAGAAAAGTTTAGAAACTATA